CTGTGGTACTACAGCGAACATTTAATTAACACCTGCCTATATAATGTGCCAGTGCAAACCCCATAGCGCACATACCTACCCATATTCAGCAGGAGGTTTGAGGACCACCGATCTTATTACTCACCCTGTGTGATAGGAAGGCTTATAAAAACAATAGCTGTTCTAACCCAAGTGGGTTAATATGGCTTCCAATGCCGGAAACGCAGGAAGTACAACATCCGGTCTGGCAGCTGTTGATCCACGTACTTTTTAAGGTGTTTCTTTACTGTTGCCATACTTACGGGTTGAAAGACACATGGTATTAGGGAAATCTCATTCGAAGGTAAATGGGCGTCATTACAATTAAATTTTTTTGTTTAAGGAGTCTACATCAGCATTCCCATATAACAGTGTGCTCCGATGGTCAGTGAGATATTTCAGATTCTTCTGAATTTCAGCATAGGAAGGATAAAAAAGGAAATAAGAAGAGTCAGAGAGCTGGCTAACGAGGAGGCCATTCAGCCTGTCAATCCCTTAGGCTGTCACGCAAGCCTAGCCTGTGAAGGAGTTCCTTTTTGGCCGTAAGTATTTTATATGTGCCGTAACAGTAGAAAGAGGACACCAAATATCAAAAATGTTATTTAAAAAGGTTGTAGGGTGGCCACAGCATGATTCGACATTTTATTGTTTAAGAAAAGCGAGGATAGTATAAGATATGCAAATCTAAAGCGGCAACTGTTTTGTGGGCACGATTTGCGAACTTTTACTTCCCTCACATGTTTCTTTAACAATGCCCGTTTAGAGGCGGAAGAAATTTCAGAAGACCCAATAACGTAAAATGATCTAAACGTGACAGCGGAACTCTATTTATAACACAAAACGCTCGAGGCACTTGGTCAACATGTAATCAGGAGGGGCATCAGAGCGAGTGCTGGAGATACGCTTATCAAGGCCAAGACGTGTGCGGGAACGTAGGTTCCCGCGATTAAAATCGTCGCATAAGATGATTAAATGTTATTAGCACTATACAGCGAGTTGTTGTCGAATGTTAAGTCGGAAATGCGGACTAAAGTACCTTCATATGTAGAGAGGGGAAATGTAAATAGTACGATTTTCACAATTGTAAAGGTATTTAACTAAACGAGACGTGCATATAGGATCGATAACGTGTATCAAATCATAGAGTAAGAACAAAAGTGTCCACGGCCTCCACAGCAATTTTGGTTGAACAAAATAAAAACGCCCCTAACTCCGCCACAAGATAAATAACTTTAATCCGTTCAACAGCAGCAGACGTATGGATCCATACGTCTGCCGCTTACTCCCGAGGAGTAATTAGCTGCAAATCAATATCAACATTTACTCACGTCTCTTTAAGACAAATGACATCGGTTCTACTGTTTCCTTATTCGACAAAAAAAGCTCTACATCGCGGGCTTTGTTGGAGAAGAAACGTAAAATATTTCGACATGAACCCTGGGATTGACATCCTGTTACTTGGCTGACGACATAGTGCGAGTTGTCAATGGCACGGGTGTTTTTTCGACGTATAGGCTTTTGTACATATAAATGTGAAAACGCTAGCTCAGAGCGATCATAAGTAAGATATACTGGACAAAAAGTTTATCGTTTTCATCCGTGAAATCGGCAATATCCTTTCCTTAAAAGATACTTGTGAACTGTAGAGATGACCTCATACCCTTAGTTCAGGCAAACAAGGGATGTTACAAAAGCGTATATATCGAAGGGAAATGGGCAGAGTAAAGCACAGTTTCAAATAACCATACGTGAATGCAGGGCACTAAAAATGACGGCTCAAATTCGTTTGTGCTAGTTGCGGGCAGTTCTTTGGCAATGCGGATTGCGACGGCTGCGACCAGTTCTCTGGGTCTATTTCCAGCATTAAGATTGCCTACTTCGGTTTATAAAATAAGTGAAATTCTTACTAAAAGTAAAGGTTCGCATAGTTATCTGTGATCCATATCGCTGTAGTGCTTCGAAGCCGATGGAATCCTTACTTCATATCTCGAACCATTATATAATAAGGCCCTTATTTACAGACATGGCACACGATTTCACCAGTCGAAACCGACCGCCAGCGAGATAAAATCATATCCATTAATCGGCAAACAGAAGTTCTTCAAGTGCACCTAGTCGTCCGTAGTTAATTCCTAATACTGACTCTCTATCTCGCAATGATAACACTTTTTCATAAATATCATGGCAAAAAAGCTCTTCTTTAAATTTTCAAATAACGCGATTATTACCAGTACTTTTAATACCCACCGGTTTACTTAACGAAGCACAAGCGGAATAATTTGCTGTCACAGAAACAATAGGAAAAGTCACAATAATCTAAAATTATTATAAGATGTTTTGGTAGATTTTAACAAAATCCAACTGACCCAAATTCAAATACCCAGGTGACCATGGAAAAAGTTCGAAACTAGAACGGCAGGGGAAAAGCTGGACTACTGCCAGCGCTTGAGCTACTTGAGCTAAGAGGTTCCACCTGAAGCAGTAAGTCTAATCGTTTATTAATTACGTTATCCGCATGGTCTGGTATGAAATGTAGAATTCACAAAATCTTATAATGTAATCTGACTGTACGATCGGAATTGTGTAATTATTAAATCTAAATTCCACCAAATGGCTACCAGCTCAAATAGTTTTTGAGTGGTTGGCAAGATATTATAGAATTGGCTGCTCGGTATGAGTCTCTATAGACCAAAAAGATAACGATGTAGCTGTATTTAAGCCTGCCCTTGCTGTTGTTGGTCCAATTCGTACTGAGTTTACCCAGTTTATCACAGTTGAATTAAAAGGAAGGTACGGTAGGCAAATCAAGAAAGTTCTTGCAGGGATTTACTGCGTTTAATTTATACCCACATATATTACGCGTTTCTGAATATAAAGAATATTTTAGATTTCGGACTCAACAATTTCGATTGAAAAATATGAACTATACTGTTTAGCCGCACTAAAAGATTGACCGGGTTTTCCTCCTGTGGTCACCCAACAAGCGAATTGAATTTCTTTCGCACATGATTGGTTTTGCAACTTTACGAAGTAGCACCTCATGTTAATTCGATGGAGCCTACCCCGTTAAAACTTTTACATCTCCATTTGTACATACGCCTCTCCAGACTCGCTTGACCAATGAGCACTGAGGAATTTATCTTTGAGTTTAACTGGTTGCATAAAATGATCTATTTATAATACGAGTATTTTGACTTGTTAGGTGGAAGGATGAAAGTACTCGTTACGGTTCTTTTCTTGCTACATGTTGTTAGATGTTGTCTTTTTATTAAAAGTAAGTTCCCGAAAACGAATGTTTCATAGAAGCACATATGTTTAGGGGATGACAAGTTTCAATGATCTGCAATTGCTTTGATCTGCGTCACCAGGCCGTTAAGCAGTATATTTTTCAATGCCATCAATTTTAATGGCGGCGATTCGTATATGTCTGATGACGCGATTAGCCCATAATTATCTCACCTAGAACCTTTGTAGGCTTCATTTTGAAATGAATATTTGAAAGCATGACATATGAAGTAGAATTGTCGTATTTTTTTTAAATAAACAAGCGAACGAAGTAAATCAGTGCATGGACGTGTATACTCATAGAACCATTTTCAGAATGAAGGCCATAGACATTTTAAACCAAATAGTTAACAGCTAAAAGTGTCACCGGCAACTTTTGAACTTAACGGATATGTATGTCATCTACGCAAAATTATTTGAATCACAATAAATAAGTCAATTTTAAGCATTGTCTCTAGACATTCCTATTGCGGGTATCCCTAATAAACAAATATAACTTGGTGTTCTTTCTTATTTCTAGGAATTCCCAAGTGTCCGCGAATTGGCTACGACATTATTATCGAACATGTTGCTGAATATTTAGTGCGACGAGCATACCACCACGGATTTGAGAAGAAGCTGTTTAATGAGAACACATTTCTAACATTCAAAATGATATTTCGTCTTCAATATCTATCATTTAACTGCACGTTTTTACGGGGAATATCACCTGCAAACTACTGGCAGTACACGTGCCTATCTCCAATAACACACGCCACAGTTCTCACAGTGAAGATGGTAAGAGGCCTGTAAGGGTAACCTTATACAACAAAGTGCTCACAGATGGTGTCTGTGTCAAAATATACATGGTAGTATTTGGCTCTAAATCTCATACATATTTTCCTTTCAAACATAACATATTCTTTCTAGGATTTAGAAAATGGATTCCGTTATAAACGCAAGAACAAATTAATTATTACTCGCCATGAACTCCGCGGGTTAACGCTGAAGGCAATTCTGGACATCACTTACTGGGAAAAGGAAAATAACTCACCAAACATGATTCGACTGTCCACCCTAGAGTTGTACCAACCAGGCACAAATACTTCAAGCAATTCATACGAACCGGTCGACCCCAATTTATTAAACGTTGTAAATATGAGTGAAGACGAATTTTACTTGTTTCTCAAGAGATACCTTCTGAAGGCCCCATCCGCAGACTGCCATCAATGATCATCACCATTAAAAAAAATTTGGCCACCTCAAACGTCCAATTTTACAATTGTGAAAAACAGCTGCATGTTTATTTACACATTTAAATTATGTGATTTAGTAGTCCAGCTAAAAAAACTATAAAAATATTACCTTTTTCTGGGCAAAGTTTCTCTTATGACAAACAACTAAAATAATATGTCTTCTTGACTGTATAGCAGATGATGAAACATTGATCATTAATTACCAGTTCCGGCAGTGTTTTAGCGGGCGGTTGAAACAAGGCTTCCACTAACGTCAGGAGATGTGATTGTTAGGTATTCACTTCAATTCTATTAGTGGTAGGTATTTGCCTTTTGCACTGGGTTCTGTTAGAAACCTCAGTACAACCACAACGGATTCAAGACAACATACGTCGCGCGTATTTTTGGATGTCGTGTTTACTTGGACGTTGCACGGTATGTTCGTTTGTGATATTTTGTGGTAGAGAATGACAGTGGGTCCTCTTAACAGAAAGGCTGTTCGATGACGGCGAAGGCGTCATCCACATACCGAGCCCAGAATTTCGGTCTGTGGTGTCGGAAAACCAGCGACTCCATCCGTTGTAGGACTGCCACGGCTATGAGTCCCGAAATCTGTGAACTCATTGGCGTTCCCTTCACCTGCTCGTAGGTTGTTCCGTCGAACGTAAAGTACGTCTTGAGACAGAATTCCAGGAGTTGGATGACTCGGACGTGTCCAAGGCGATTCTCCGTCTCGTCGTATATCTCTCGTCGGAGACGTTCGATGGTCTCGACTGCTAGGTCCTGCGGGATAGAAGTAAAAAGGGACGTGACATCAAAGGAAACCATGATATCACTTGGAAGGAGACTTATTCAATTAAGTTTCTCCTAGAATTGCGTTGACGAGCTGACTGTGGTGTTTGAATAGGAGGTCAGAAACTTAACCTTGGAAAGCACGTCGCGCGGCCTATGAGTCAAGAAAAGGGAGGACACTTGGTGTCGAATAAGGTTCTTCGTTTCGTCTGTCGCTCCCGTCTGGCTGAAGATTGATTCCACTAATGCGATCATGCTGGCAGGTTTAGCATCGGCCGTTTTGATTGAGGCCTCATGTCGTAAAACCCGCATTTGTTCCTCCGTCAGCTCCTTTGACGTCAAGTTGCCCACAAGTTTGTCCTTCTTGGATGACATTGGAGCAGGCAGCTTACGAGATTTTCTCTCTAGGGCTGCTTCGCGCGTTGCTCTGTGTTCGCGGGTTCGTTCGGCCAGCCTCTGCTGAAGCAGTTTTTTTGCCGTCGTCGTCCATGACCTCACAGCGCCTTGCTTTCTCTTGGTCAATCCTCTGACGGTATTTGCGAATCTGTGAGCGCCATTCTTGAAATAGCACTCGGATCATTCGACGGCCGTGTCTTGCGCGAAGCGCCTGGTAGGCGGGATGTAGGTCTATGGCTTGGTTGAGTGTGCCAGTCGAGGATCTACTTTCCAACGTCAGTCTGGCCATTTCATCACTGACTCGGCCAATCACACTCGCTTTCTCGAAGACGAAACTGTGGTTTCGCTCTAGTGTGTGGCCATACACCAAAGACTGCTAATCCTTACGGTTGAGTGCTAATTGGTGCTCATGCAATCTTGTGCATAGGCCTTTTTCCGTTTCACCAACATACCGTGAATCACAATCTTGGCATGGTATGCTGTAGACCCCCGCTGATTGTTATGTCACCGGTAGCGGGTCTTCGGGCCTCATGATTTGCTGTCTAATTGTTGATGCTGGCTTATGCGCCACACCAATTCCAAAAGGTTTCAGAATTCTCGAAGTTGCCTCTGAAACGTTCTTCTCATAGGGGATTGAGAGCCAGAAATTTGGTTTCTCCTCGCTCTACCACCCAGAGTGGGACTTCCTGAGGCACTTGCGTATGAGCGAGTTCGGGTAACCGTTGGCTTCAAATAGGGCACGTAAGTACTCTACCTCCTTCTTCCTGTCACCGTCGTCGCTGCAGTGGGTTTAGGCACGTTGGAGAAGGGTCCTGACACAACTGCGTTTGTGACCGACGGGATGGTTGCTTCTGAAGTGCAGGATGCGCCTAGTCTTAGTCGACTTACGGTAGACCGTCACCTTTATATTCCCGTCTGCTAGTTTTGTGACTTGTACGTCTAGGAAGGGCAATCGGTTGTCGATCACTTTTTCCATATTAAACTGTATGTCGGAAAATATTGGATTCAAATGTACCTTTAAATCGTGCAAGTAGTTCCTTTTTTATTATGATGAATGTGTCATCAACATATTTGGCCCAGAACTTCGGATGGTACGAGCTGAATACAAGTCGCTACAGACTCTGCAAAACCGCTTCGGCAATTAGCCCAGACAGAGGCGAGCCCATTGGCGTTCCCTTCTGTTGCTGGTATACTTGGCCACTATATGTGAAGAAAGTCATAAGACACAGTTATAGGAGCTCGATGATGTGCACTCGCTTAAGCTGTTGGTCGGTCTCGTCGTATTTTTCTCGGAGAAGGCCGTCGAGCGTGTCGATGGCCAGGTCGGGCAGGATATAAGTGAACCAAGAGACCTATTGATACGTTCTTTGAGATGAAAACGCCTTAATGCATGGCTTTAACTGATTAGATAAGCAATGAGTTAAAATGTCCATTGACAAGAACGCAGCATAGCACGACACTCAAGGAAGAATAACCAGGTCATCGTGCATAAAGGATAAGTAACTCAATTTGTCAGTAAACTTATAAGCATGTTTGTCCGATAATGAAATTTAGAGAACAAATACCGCCCACCTAATCGCCGCTGCTATGTCCTGGGGCTTAGTGCAGACATCACCGTTCAAAATGCTTGAGCAGTCATATTCGAGTGTTAACCTGACGGTTATTTGTATGGGATGTCATACTGATACGTTCTTTCGGAAGGAAAAGAGACCAAAATCATTGCTTTACCTGATTGGGCAAGCAATGGGCTGCCATTTCTATTGGCAAGGACACAGGATAAACCAGCACTCAAGGAAGAATAAAAAGGTCATCGTGTGATACGAATTTTATGGAGGGGACTAGACGAAGGAAAGTTAACTGCGAGAGCAGCTAAGTATTCGGATACTTATTAAGGTGGCATATTCTGCCCTCTAGCTAGATTGCTCTACAGCTGTTTGCAAAAGAGCGCAAGTGCCAGGAACCCGATCTCCGAGAAATGGTAAGGGTACCACGACATCTGCCAGTGCAATGAAAACTTGGATAGTTTTCGCAGATTTTACAATTTGTTTTTACGAAAGACGTAGAGGACATTCGAGAGCGCGGAAGCGTCAATTATGAAGAGATGAGGACACATTATGTCACGATGATCTGGCTTTTGTTACTCGAGTGGGGTTGCATAATGCGTCCTTGCCTACCCAGTATAAATGAAAGACAATTTAAGTCGATGTGTAAGGAATTTACTTTGCATTAATGCAGTTGCGACGGTATGCTCGACTTTTTATTACATAAGCAGATTGTTAGGGGGATGTCTGCAGAAGGTTGTTTTTCGATTAGCAAATGAGATGGGTATTTGTTTTTTGCCTTGACTATAGGCAGAAATGATTGCCTGATGGAATGTTGAAAGGTCAACTGCTAATTTTCATTACAGCTGAAAATTAGGACATTGAGTAATCTCTGGTGACGATTTAAACCTCCCTAACTGGTGTCAACCGTTGATCGCTTTGAAAGGGATGTTGATCGCGAAAATTCCAGTTTTACATCCGGCTGGGAAATATTTAAGATCCACGAAATGTGTAAGCTGTTTCATTGCAAAACTGAGGGGAATGCTTACATTCGATGGCTTTAAGTGGATATTATCTAACGTATTTCATATGCCATTAGTTACGAACTTTTATATTAAACTTTTGCGTTAGCCAGCTCTAGACGGAAGCATAATTCTTTGGTTTCAACATGTATCGGCGTCAACCGCGTTATATCATTAGAAGGCCATCGAATAAGGGCTTTATGTGTTTTACTTGATCGGTCGTAAACTAGGCTCTGCAATTAATGACCGGCAAAACCCTCATATAAACATGTTTTTAAAAGTACTTACAGAGGAAACCTGTTGTAGTTAATCATTAGTTGCCGATAACCCCTTGAATTATACCTGCCGAGTTGGTTGACAATATAACATCATTCTTCAATGTAACTAACGTATTCGACGAACGTTTAATGAATGCTCTTGAAAAGAATGAAAAACTTTAATAAGAAATTACTTATATTATACCGTGGTTCGCTGAGGAATGAACAGGTATTGTACGATGTTGCAAGACAAAATAGGGCATTCTGGTCCGGGGTGTCTTCCCTTGTTTTTTTAGGTTTAAGAACATCGTAAGTGCTCAACTAAGCCTGTAGATTTCAGTCTGTTAATTAGTTAGCGATTAAAAAGCCTAATATTCTCAATATGTGTATACAACTCTAAGGAGATAAGGCTCTGAATGCTACCATTAACTCTAAATCAATGGCTGAATGACCTCTGTAGGTAAACCTTTTGATCTGAACCAGACCGATGCCAGCGCAATTTACCGAAACAACAGGCCAATAAATTTCTTGTTCCAGTGATCGCATCTTCACCTTCTCAAACAGCATCACTCTGCATAGCCAATGCAGTAAGAACTGGGTCCTGCAACTGAAGACTTCTCGTGACATCAACAGGTCACTTCACGGGTTCGATGAACTCGCTATGTCAGTTAACCAGCAAAAGCTGCCTAGAAAACAAGGCAAGAGTATGTTCTACTGGATTTTACTTTCCACTGCAAACATTAACACGGTTTTTACAAACCATTTTGCGAGCGCTTAACTTACCAAATTTAGCCTCTATTCCTGTTAGGATTCAAACGCCTAGATCGCTCTACTGATGGTCCACTGTTTACTCATGTATAAAAAATCCCATTTCACAAATGCTGTCAAAGTATGTCAGCCGATACTAAAATGCATGATAGTTTAGTCCTGGAATAAGTAGTATTAAGTGTAACTTGTGATTAGACGATTCGACAGCTTTAACTGCATCTGAATGAAAGAATAAAACTTTGACTCGAATGTTTAACGTAAAAAAATATTTGCTTCATGATTTAATTTTGAAAGAGTTTTTTTTGATTCGGAAACAAATGGCGGACTGTCCTTATATCCTGTCAATTGTCACTTAATTTGGACACAGCATAATTATGACCTTGTTATGGTTAATTGATGTGGCACTTGCTACATTTCATGCAACAACTCGGAAGATTAGTTGTCTAAAGTGCACAGCTCTACGGTCGACTTTAATCTAGCCAAAAAACCGTCTAGGGATAATTTTTGTTTGCAGGATTCGTAGATAGGTTGAATTAAATGAAACTGCTGAATATGAACTAATGATTCAGCTGAAATATACCTGTTCCGAATACGCTTCCTAAGTCATCAGAGACTGACTTCTATGTATACCTCTATTCACTTGGCGCGTCCCCTTGAAACGGTGCCCTGACAAAAAGCTACTACTTTTTTGCCGTCAGCGTAAAGAATTTTGGGGGTCTTCCACTCATGTATTTAGCATTGAATTGATCGGGGTACCCCTTTTGGCGATAAATATTCCAGACAATCTTAAGTTCTTCCGCAGTGCTATCAGCCGAGCCGATCCATACCACACTTTGTGTAAAAACATGGACTAAATTACGCTTCATATTTAATGGTATGCAAATCCCAAAATTAGTAAATTGTCCCAGCCACGGTTTTCTTACGTTAGACTTCACGTCGAATACAGCCGTCAGACTTATTATTACAAACCACATACAGGAAGTGATATTTGCCGCTACAACACGCTGAAACCACTGTTTAATTGTGTCATTCTATTTAAGATATAGCTATAAATATAGTATATCTACGATGGTAAATCTAGTCTCTGATTGTGAATGACCTCCAGGCAACAGCGCCTTAAACATGTACGTCAGGGGTGACCATGATGTCTGTCAGCGACAGCCATCCACCGGACACAAACCGCTACGATATTATTAACCTTGATGCGAACAAGAAATTGATGCGTCGCACCATTGTGTTCCTTTGATGACAGGAGCACCTAGGACTGCGCACGAGTATGATGCTGCGATCTGTAAAGAGGAGCGGTCGTTATATAGGCAATTGGGATGCCGGGCTGGTCTCGTCAACACAATGAATCCCGGTGAGGGCTAAGGCAGAAGAATACATCAGCCGAAAGCTGCGTTGAACAAAGGAGTGATGTATCCATATGACAAGACATTTGAAGGACTGCCAGGATTTGTATGGCCACTGTTGTCAGTGGCATCGATGTCGGTACGTGCCATAGTGTTGGCAACTGCGTCTTCCTCTCTGTGGATACACTACAAGGCGAAGTCGACTACGGACCTCATGATGTTTTTTTGCAGCCCTTTCTGGCAATTGCGTGTTGGTGACCCATCATAATTACTAATTTGTAGCGTCTAAGCGGGGAGTGCTGCATTTGTCGAGCTGTGGTGTTCAGGTGACTTATGGTGTATTTGCAAGACGTTGGTGTTCAAGTGACATACTGCGCAGCTGGGAATCTGTGGGGGTACTTGTTGTTCGAGTAGGTTATGGTAAAGTATCTATAGGTCGGCATGGCTGTTGGAAAAAACGACATACGGCGTTGCGGCTCGAAAGGCTGCTGACTGACGCCCCAACTCAGTCCACGAATTCAACCCAGTTGTATGTGTATGAGCGTAGTGGCGGACTAGTGAACTGACAGCCAGACTGAAGCGACCCCTTCTTCATGTCATTTTCTGGCACGCTCACGCATGTGAGATACATTCCGTTTTACCCCCATTGCGTGAAATCATGGTGCTTGTGTTTGGGGGATCAGGTCGTGCATGTGGCGCACGCAGTCAAGGTCATTAAATACGTCACCCACCGCATCCATTCCCCGCACCTTTCAACTAACCGGACCGTGACAGTGGCTGGGACCCCTAAAATCTGAAGGGAGAGTGAGGTCGATGGCTCAGCGCATTTTCATCCCTATACACATTAAACTAGCACGGTGCGCTAAAAGCCTTGGCAAACCAGTACCTGGAGCACCCTCAGACGGTAGATGTGCTAACTCATGAAATGTCAACCAAAATTTCGAAATGCATTCTCGTTTCGAAAAGATAAATTAAGTAGTGTTGTCAAACTAATCATGATGCAGCATAAATCTATAATGATCCAGTTACCTCAGGGTGTGGGCTTTCGAAAGAACTTATTTTCGGCTGCATGCAAGATCTATGCTCTGCAAAAAATGACTACTTAAGTAGTAGGCAATTTTCCCATTGATTGTCGATGCCCTTGAAAACTAAACTATATTTCATGGAAAACATGCATAAAAATTATTATTCTATTATTTGTTCGGTAGAAAATCACGTCTTCTTCCAATTTTCTACTCAAAAGAAGAGTATAATTCGGTTTTTAAAAAGTTTCTAACTGTGAGATTTTTTAATACCGTTAAATGGCCGTTCATGAAACCTCATGTATCTTCATTTGCGAATGTGGCTTTTAAAGTTAACAATAGTTTTCAAATCCACTGCTTAATTTTATGAACCTCATGTAGTCTCCTCTTAACACCGTAGAGAAATTCCTGGTTTTCCGTACGCAGAAAATAAACAGCTTGTAGTTTTGAAACCCTGAATGCAAGTGTAAGAGCAGGTCGGGTTCAAAATTGTTCGGGAATTAGAAAAGTTTTTACAACCAAATTATACTCTTTTTCGAGTATGAAATTGGAAGAAGACGTGATTTTCTACCGAATAATTAAAAGAATGAATATTCTTATGCATGTTTTCCATGAAATATAATTACATATTCAAGGGCGTCGAAAATCAATGAGAAAATTGCATGCTATCTAAGTAGTCATTTTTTGCAGAGTATAGATCTTGCATGCAGCCGCAAATAAGTTCTTTCGAAAGCCGACAGCCTGAGGTAATTGGATTATGATAGACTTATGCTACATTATGCTTATTTTTACAATACTAGTTAATTTGTCTTTTCGAAACGAGAACGCATTTCGAAATTTTGGTGGACATTTCATGAGTTAGCACATCTACCGTCTGAGGGTGCTCCAGGTACATCTACTGTAAATTTGCGTGAGTAAAGTAATGGCGATTCATTAAAAAGGAGGCAATAATATTTTGGCTCGCATTGTACACACCTTTCTTGACGAAACGCCGATTTTACTGGTTCCGGGGACTCCGCATCAAGATACTTTCTGCGAGATATAAAAACCCCTGTAGAAATCCGTAATGCTCCACAGTTGGGTAAGCGCTGCATATGCTTGTAGCACTTTAAAGTGGGCGTATTTGATTAACCTCGGCCGCGGTCCATGAGGATGCGAAATATATCTCCGCCTCCCGATTAAATGTCAAAAATGTGTGCTCATGACCTCAAATCACACATTTGTAACATATATTTAATACTGTGAAAGGTGGATCACGTTACCTAGATGGAGATTAAAGAACACTAAAATTTCTTCGAAAGCACTCGCCAGGCTGTGAAAAAAGGATGCTGCTGATTTATCACCACATGCTAATAAACGTAATAGACTGTTACCGTTTCGGATTTATATAAATTCATTGTGGTTTAGAATAAGAACAGGCATTCAATTTGTTTGTCATGTGACCACACAAAGAAAACCCAGTAAATCTGTTGGCGCGCTTCTAAATTATGGGCTTTGGTTTTCGAGGCAAATCACCGAGTCCGAAATATAAAAATGGTCTTAACATAGAGATGCACATAACATATGCAGGTATAAATTGAGAACAACTAGTCTCTGATATAACATTCATGATTTGCTGATCGTACTTTCATTCAAACCAAAGTGTGATAAACTGGGCGAACTCAGCTCAATTTGCACCTACGACAGGAGATTAATAAATATAATTTTATTTCGTTGGCGACCATTTTACAATGGTTAATTTTGTACCCAATCTACAGATAGGGGTACCATTTTATATTCGGTAGAAAGAAGAAGTCCTGATACTATCGCTTCCGTTTCAATGCAGCAAATTTGGACAAAGATGTCTATACAGACACTTTCTTAGGTAGGCTTTTCTCTCTGCGCTACGCCATCAATTTTTTGAGGAAATTCTATCGCCAATTACCTTGACGACTTTCCATGTTGCAAATGCCTAAACTTTTGGTGGATTTACGATTTTATAATTACACAATTATGATTGTGCAGTCAGATTACTTTATAAGATTTGGTGAATTCTTGATTTTATACCAGAATATGTAGCTAACCATTTTAATAAATTATTAAACTTACTGCTTCGGGTGGGGCCTATTAGCTCAGGTGGTTCAAACTTTAGCAAATAAGGACGTGACATCAAAAGATACCATGACCTCATTTGACAAGGGACTCACTTCTTTATGCTTCTGCAGTAATTATGTTGATGAACAGACGGTGGTGCCCAAATCAGCGGTCAGAAATTTGAGGCGCCGTAACAGCCATTTTGCCAGTCCGCACGTTGGAGTGTCTTTCAGCGATACAATGGGCCGGAGAGGAACGAACTGCTTGTGCACCTTGAGGAGACCAAAGAATCGGGCCAAGGTCTCGGGCTCTCGCCATGCGTCGGTCGGTCGGTGTTATTACACCAGAGTTCTCCAGTGCCAACAGTGCCGCATTAATTTCGCGTGTCAGCGTCTTTACGGGGTTGGTTTCACATAGACATAAAACTGGCGATCCTCCAGTAGGTTTTTAGTCTTCTGAAGATAGTCTGTTATGTCCAGTACGACGGTGGAACGCCCTTTTCCGCATGCACGATGACGATGTCCTTGTCGGCATTGAGTTTTCTTGGTGAATCGCGTTCGACCTTTGGAAGTCTTTCGTGCGGCTTGTGAGTCATAAGGAGGGACGACACTTGGTGTCGGGTAAAGTTTTCGTCTCCTCCGCCGCTTCCGTCTGATTAATGACCGATTCCACTGCTGCAATCATGTTGACAGGTTTGGCGTCAGCTATGTTGAATGAGGCTTCGTGCCGTAAAACCTGTACTTGCTCCTTCGTCATTTACTTTGACGACAGGTTGTGTACCAGTGTGTCGCCTCTGGATGACGTTGGATCCGGCCGTTTTGTGGAATTTGTTCACCAGTGCTGCATCGCGTGTCGCTCTCTGCTCACGGGCTCGTTCAGTCACTTTCTGCTGAAGCAGATTTGGGCCGTTCTCGCCCATGAACTCTCAGTATCTGGCCTTTTCTTGGTCAATTCCCTGACGGTTTTTGCGGAACCTCGCACGACCATCTTGCAGGAGCACGCGGATCATATGTCTTCCGTGCTGAAATACTGCGTGTCTCGTTAGTTCCGTGTTTGTATGAAACGAGCTGCGGCAACACGTTGTTATCGAGACACCTGTGCTGAAACCAGATCTGCGATAGGTAGAGGCCTCTCGAAGAGCAAACGTTTCCCATCGTCGAGCCGATCGGAGCGCGTCGCGCCCAAACAAATTGCCGGTACAAAAAAAGATGGTAGCTGGTAGCCATTTGGTGGGTTTTAAATCTAATAATTACACAATTCTGATTGTGCAATCAGATTACATTATACAAATTGATGAATTCTAGATTTCCTGTCAGAATATGTGAATAGCCTATTTAATAAACGATTGAACTTACTGCTGCTGGTGAAACCTCTTGGCTTAAGAGTTGGCAGTAGTCCAGCCTTTTCCTGGCGCTCGCGAGTTCGAACTTTTCCCATGGTCACCTAGATTTTTGAATTTGGGTTTCTATGACAACAATTTATTCCGATTGTCCTTCGTTACGTAAGCCGGTAGCTCAGAAAACTAATCTACAGAAGAGCTGTTCTGCCATGGTGTTTATGAACATGTGTTATCATTGTGAGATATAGAGTCAGTAGTAGAAATTGGATACGGACGATTACGCGCACTGGGAGAACTTCTGTTCGCAGATTAATGGATATGATTTTATCTCGCTGTCGATCGGATTCGACTGGTGAAATCTGGTGCCCGGATATTAAATAATATACCCTGAGAACACATTTCCTTAATACCATGTGATTCCTTCCCATATCTGTCTGCAGCTGACGTAATAGGTGATGGCGCGCTTGTTTTGCACAATGCGTTTTGCCTTACTTCTTGGTACTTATCCAGTAAGCAAATAAATAGATAGATAGATAATTTTTATTAAAGACCCGTCGGGGTCCCATCAAAGCAAGTTAAAATAAATTTGCATGCGAGTTTTAGACGAGGTAGGCCGAATCTTTACAAAATGCAATTCCTAGTTTCTAAATTAGAAGTCCATTGAGGAACATGATAATTGAGGGGTGAAAAAAAACTCCTTGGAAAAAGTTAAAAAATGATTGGATTAATTTTACAGGAGAAAAAAACCCCTCTTTAAAATAATAACAGAAAAAAGCGAGCAGGACTGGCCTGTAGGTGGCGGTATATAACGGAATGTTTTCGGTCATCGTCAGGGTATCAATAAATGTCCGCCTTGATGGGTACGAATGTGGGTCAGACAGGAGTGGCTTGAATATGGCATTGTATACGGGATTAACAATTGAGATCGTCTGGGCCGGATTGGTACGCCGCGTCAAAGAGGCCAGACGAGAGGAACCGAGATGCGATCGGCCACAGCACGCTTCGAGCTCAGCCGAGCAGTGAGGAAGGGAGGTACGACCGAACTACTAGTAGACAGTGAATACTGAGGGTTCCGCCGTGAGCGTCGACAGACCGCATGAGGTCGGAATGCGGGAGATGACATCAAAAACCACGAAAATTGTCGCTATGGGGGGACGGATAGCGATGGATTTAGAAACCAATTCAAAACAGGGGTTTCTAATGATATAATTAAGAGTTACCACTTAATCTACCACTAAATCCCAGGAGGACCCTTTTCGAAGTCAAGAATCTGAGTGTTCGGCAATGAGACCGTTAGCAGTGCCTTTATGCTTTCCGGTGTAAGATGGTTGCGTAATTTCGACTTGAATATCAGTAACCTAGGCGATAATCAAATTTCAGGCGGAAGATTATTCCAGAGGAAGGCATATTTGGAAGCAAAGAAGAGGGAGCGCTTAGATGTAGTACAAAGAGACGGCGGAATCACCATGCAGGAGTTGCGCGTGGCATAAGATCGATCTCTTGGAGTGAGAGTGTCAATGTGCGGAAGACTGGAGCTAGAGTTGATGCGAAAAAGGAAGCAAAGGCCAGCTTCGAGTCTTCTAACCCACAAAAACTTCATGTTCGCCAGCTGACATCTCTGAGTATAAGAAATACTGGACGAAGCTTGAGAGAACAGTTTCCGGGTGAAAACCCTCTGAACACTTTCGATTTTATCACGGTCGCAGGCGTTCATTAAACCGAAGAAAGGACAGCAGTATTCGAGGACTGGAAGAACAAACATTTGATAAAGTCTTAGCTTCATTTCCAGAAGCAAAAAATTATGCGATATGAATCCACATATTTGCGCGGCTTTGGCAGAGATTCTATCTGCATGAGGTGATAAAGAAAGCTTATTTGTATAACTTAGATCTAGGTCCTTTATGGTGAGGCATTCTGAGAGTGGGTTATTCTGAAAAATTATGGGACCAGGAAGTTTGGTAGGACCAAAAGACATGAAACTACACTTGGATAATGAAAACTCAATCTGCCATATCGAACCCCATCTGCTTAAGCGTAGTAAATCGGCATTAATTTTTTCAACACAAACATTTGCGGTGTCCTTAGAGTAT